GTAGTTTCGCTTTCACAACGAAACACAGCGTCTCCACGACATGGCGGCGGCGGTAACAATACTACAGCGAGAATCAAAGTTACGCCTTCTTTATAAGTATTAATTACTCAAAGTATTAATTTATCTTCTTTATAATATCTGCAGAACAGCTGTCATACAAAACTTTTGCCCATTGCAGTTGTATTTTAATTGCTAAAACATTCAGCTGTCGATAAAAGCATTGTATTTTGTCTCCATTTACCATGTTTAAATCTGTTCTGCATGGATTACTCCCCAAAAACAATGGATAAAGTTTCATCCGAGCATCCGTTTATTATTGCACGGCTGATTGATGTTGTGGTTGGGTGCGATTCACTCGAGACAGATGTAAACAAGAGAAGAGGTCAGATCAGTCAGGAAAGGGTCAAGCGTGTGGGTGGCATGGAATATTTACATATACACACACACACATACACAGGATGACGACAACAACAGCAACGTGGAGTTTGAATCTATACAAATGATTATACTTTTGCAGGCGCAATACTCATATAAAGCAATGTGACCCTGTGATTTATAAAGGACTTTTGCCATTTAGACAGATTTTTTTAAATGCAAGTTGTGCTTTCACCGCCACAATGTGAGGGTGATGCTATGCAGTTGTTGCTAAGGTGCATTGTTTTTAGCACAATGCTATGCAGTTGTTATGGTGTTCTGGTGGTTGCTACACTCTGAGAAAAAATAAAAAAAGGTACAAAAGTTGTCATTGGGGCGATACTACTGAAAAGGGTACACCTTTGTACCTTATTTACCCCTAAAGAGTGCATATTAATACCTAAATTGTGCATTTTAGTACCTTTTGAAAAAGGTACCGCCCCAGTGACAACTTTTGTACCTTTTTTCTCTGGTCCCTCCATCAAAGTATTAATTTCTGTATTTTTAATGCTTAGACGTTTAATATTTTGTATTACATGCATTGGCAAACAAATGTTTTATGGGTGTTAGGTTGAGTTAGTAAGATTTTTTTTTAATGTTTTTGAAAGAGTCTCTTCTGCTCACCAAGGCTGCATTTATTTATTCTAAAATACAGTAAAAACAGTAGTATTTTGAAATATTATTTAAATTTGAAATAACTCTTTTCTATGTGAATATATTGTAAAATGTAATTTATTCCTGTGATGCTACGCTGAATTTTCAGCATCATTACTCCAGTCTTCAGTGTCACATGATCCTTCAGAAATCATTTTAATATACTGATATGCTGCTCAAGAAACATTTCTTATTATTATCAATGTTGATAACAGTTGTGCTGCTTAATATTCTTGTGGAAATTGTTTTTTACAGGATTATTTGATGAGTAGAATGTTTAAAAGAACAGCATTTATTTGAAATAGAAATCTTTCATAACATTATAAATGTCACTTTTGATCAATTTAATGTATCCTTGCTGAATAATAGTATTCATTTCTTTTCTAAAAAATCTTACTGACCCCAAACTTTTGAAGGCTAGTGTATCTGTAAGCAGCATTGGGGGTTTGAGGTTTACAGGAAGTTGCATGCTGCTCACGTCTCTATGGTGACCACCGAGGTCCTCCGGGGGGCAGGTATGCGAGGAATGCTGGGGGCATTTGAGCAGAAGAGTTCAGAGATGCACACGCTGGCTTTAAAATCATGGATTGTTAATGTGCTGTTCGAAGATGGTACATCAAGACTCCCTGCTCCAATAAACGTCCCTATATTTCACAGGCCACTTAAAGTGATTAATAGAGGTATAATTAGAAAAAGGTCTCCTCTGAAGCAGCATAGAGTGGATACATACCTACAGCAGTCGGGCCGATCACACCCTTCTGAAGAAAGAGTGATAAATCAAGCTTTAAAAGAGAAAGAACATTTGAAAGAGCGGTATGCAGCATGCTGTTCTCTTTTAAAGGGATAGTCCTTAAAAAATATATTTCCCACGCTTATGATCTATAAAAGGAGTTATTTAGCAAAATGTCCAAGCTGCTTTTTATTCCTCACAGTGTTATCTCCTTTAAAGGGATAGTCCACCCAAAAATGAAAATTGTCATTTACTCAGCCTCATGTTGTTCCAAACCTGTATGCATTTCTTTATTCTGTGGTACACAAAAGAATATATTTTGAAGAATGTTGATAATCCAACAATTTCAGTTTCCATTGACTTCCATTGTATTTTTGTCCATACAATGGAAGTCAATGGGAACCGAAATTGTTTAGTTACCAACATTATTCAAAATATCTTCTTTTTAGTTCCACAGAATAAAGAAATGCATACAGGTTTAGAAATTTTAAAGGTGAGAAAACAGATTTTTAATTTTTGGTTGCACCGTCCCTTTAAGTAAAATTTGTGTAAATGTCTTTGTGCTGTCTTTTATTAGCGGTGTGTGAAAGCTTTCAAAAACCCTTTATAAAGAGTGTGATGTCACCTTTTCTAACTCTAGGAATGCTGTGTCAACATTGCAAACGTTTCTCAGTGCGGTTGGAGGACCGCTGGCTGCTGTTTTGCTGTCTAAGCTCTTGTAGTCGCAGTTTGTGCAGTAGATAAACACACAAGCATATGCTCTCAAAGCACTTGTCACCAGAAATACTTTGTAATTTTTTTTTTCTTCTATAAGAAATAAGCATTCAGTTTATGAAATAAAGGATGAGTTTTTTTTTTTATTGATACTTTTATTCAGCAAGGATGTATTAAAGAAACCAAAAGTGACAGAAAAGACAATTATAATGTTATAAAAGATATTCATTTCATATAAATGCTGTTTTTTACTTTCTATTCATCAGAGATTCCTAAAAATGTCCGTTTTCACAAGAATATTTAGCAGCACAACATTAAAATGGTTTCAACATTTTTAATAAGTGATTCTTGATTTTCAAATCAGCATATTATATGCATATAGTTATAAACTATATATATATATATATATATATATATAAGCTTTATATGTGACCCTGGACCACAGAACCAGTTTTAAGTGTCAATTTTTCAAAATTGAGATTTATACATCATCTGAAAGCTGAATAAAATATGAGAGCTTTCCACTGATGTATGGTTTGTTAGGGACAATATTTATTTGGTCGAGATACAACTATTTGAAAATCTGGAATTTGAGGGTGCAAAAAAATCAAAATATTGAGAAA